TAGAGTCGCTGGCTGTCGCCCAGGCGGTCCGGGTTCGATCCCCGGCGCGAGCACTGAATTAATTTTCGGTAGTTTCGTTGGGCGGGAGGAGATAGGTGGCCAACCCAACATTCTTGGTACCTAGATATCAATCCTTTGGACTGTCCACGGTTACCAGCCGAGTAGTGCTTCGGATGACACTTAAAAAGCTAAGGTCCCCGTCTTCTTAACTCACACAAGTCTCTGACTTTCGAGGGTTGCTTTGCAACTAAGCTGGCGGTTAAAAACACTTTTAAACACACACTTTAATGGCAAATACCGCGTCAGTGCCAGGTATATGTAGGAACAAGACGTGGAAAATGTTAGGTTAGTGAGCATATCAACAATAATAATAACGATTATTTATTCCTCTCCAGAACATAAAAAAAACTACTTTGTGTTTGACTTGATAATCAAATAGAGGTAAACAATATCGTTGTTTGAGACAAAAAACTATTGCTTGCCGTGATTATTCAAAAATAAGTTATCCATCCCGAGGATAACCAATGAAATACATATCGAGCAAGTATTTGAATCTTGAAGGCTTCCTTGATCAAAACAAAAATACTCAACTGAGATGTTTATAATTCCAATACTAAACTATAATAAGGTGTATTTATATCTCCAGCATGGGTAGGAAATGCCAAATCTGCTGAAATCGGAAACAAATTAGGTATGCTTTCTCAACCCAAATAACCAATCGTCAAAATGTTGTTTATTCTTGATGACATCTAGTAGATCCTTTTTAGTTTCTAGGTGCTAAAGTTCAACTTTAGCTCCTAGGAACTAAAATTCAACTTTAGCTCCTAGGAACTAAATATGTTGCCTAGCAACATACCTATTTTTGTGCCAGTAATAGAAACGTCAATTTAAGAGCTAATTTTGGTATATCAAAATGGACGACTTTTGTGTCGGTTGCAGAAAAAATAGTTATTTTTGTATCTAGAGCGCGCGAAATGCAATTCGCAGTTTGTCATCAATGCGCGAACCTCTTCATTTTTTGACGTTTGTAGAAAAAAAAGTTTAATTAGATGGGTCGATATATTTTCGCAGATAAAAATAATAACTTTGGAAGGTGAAACCCCATTATATCAGGGATGCGATACACACAGTATTCTTCTTACCACGCCCTCCCCATTTTTTAGCTTGCAGATTGGGTTTCATAACGCCAAAATCTCGAACTAATTGATAGTGAGTTATTGCCGTCTAGGAATAAATCAAAATACTTGCGTGAAAAAAATTAATGTTTTACACGATTTCCAGAAATTCCACTACAGTGGCTAAAACGTCGAACGTGTCTTTAGGCCAGGAATGTCACATGTCTCGCTGGACCCGTTTAAAGGTTCTCTTTTTTAAGGGCCATAAATTTCGTGAAATTTATGGGCATCCAATTATATCGGAATAAGATTGGGACTGATGTGCATAGCGAATGTTCAATATTTTTTATTTGCCAGAGACGTGAAAAAATCACCGGTGGCAAAAAACATTCGAACGAAACAACAAAATTCTGAACTGAAGCGAATACATTCTGTAAACTTTGACTGAAGTTATGAGGACTGTGGACAAATAATCAATATACAGGGTTTTCAAACTCATATACCGACATTATTGATAAATTGGTTATTATTGGAGCTATACTAGTAATATTTCACGATCACTTGTTAGGTCAAAAAGTTCAATTCCTTTAATTGGGACACCCAGTACACAATATTCTTAATCGATACCTATAGGAAATTCGATCCTCAACAGGCACTGTTTTATAAACTTTTAGCCTAAATTATTAAATGACGAATTAAGCTATCGACGATTTCTTTCTACTTTTGTCAGGTTAACTTACAAGTAATACAGGGTATATGTCACGGCGAGCTTACACTATCTCCATATCGAGAATCAGTCGGGAAAAGTCTATAAAAATATGAATGCTTACATTTTACTCTTCATTCAAAATATTTTCAGCAATGCAGTGTTTCTGCTTCTATCAAAAAGTAGCAACAACTTCGTTATTTTAAATTGAATACCCTGGAATTCCATTGCATTTTTAGATTCTCCCTGGAGAGCTGATTTCATCGATATACATCACACTTGGGGTCTATCGGAAATGATTACAGAGATACCTATAGGATGTTCAGATTCGAGATGTCGAGACTATTTATTATTGGCAAAAATGGCTCACATATCCATATCTCAACTTTTGATTTACTATATTTACTGATATTTCATCGGAACAGATACAGGGTGATCAGAATTCCGAATCTTGAACCACCCTGTATCTGTTCCGATTAAATATCAGTAAATAGTGAATCAAAAGTTAAGATTGGGACATGTGAGCCGTTTTGACATATAATGAATAGTTTCGACAAAAAAAAATACTAAAGTAGAAAATTCTCGATTTTGAACACCCTATATCTCTGTAATCTTTCTCGATCGACTCCAATTGTGATGTATTGATGAAATCCGCTTTTCAGGGAGAATCTAGAAATGCGATAAAATACAGAGTGTTTACTTTCTAGTTGAAGCGGTAACACTGCATCGTCGGAAATATTTTAAATGAAGAGAGCGTATCCCAAAATATAAGCATATGCACATTTTCATAGACATCTCCTGACTGATTTTCGATATAAAGCTCGTCGTGACATTTTTGAATTTAGGATGGAAGATTATGGAACAGTTTTTGTTTCAGAATCGAATTTTTTATCTATCAAGAATAATGTATATTGGGTGTCCCATTTAAAAAAATGTACCCTTTTGACATAACTCGTGAACACTATGTTCAATTTTTTTTTCGATTCCACCATTATAATCAGCGAAATTTGCCCACTTAACTAACATTGTAGGTCTGATAATAACAAACTTAGCAATAGTGCCGACTTAAGTTTGAAAACCCTGTATTTATTGCCAAATAACACATCAATATATAGCTATAGAGGAGCCAAAATCTCGCCAACTAAATAACCATTATCCTCAGTGGAACATTTTCGAGATTTTCTTCAGAAAGAGTGATTGTAGAAAATGTCGATATATCCTATTTATATCAGATTAGAGAATCATGAAAATTTAAATTGTCTGCTTTACCATGTTTAGGAAGTCTCATATTATCTGAAGTGGTTGATTTATCGAACCGATTATTTCTGAAGTGAGCAATATGTGCTTTGAAACTTGTGCCAATCCTTTGGCATGTTTGCCAAATATATTTCATAATACAGTTATTATAATGTACCTCATGTATACCTATTTCATAATGATTATTCATATTATTTACATTTTATTTTTCGTAGTAAAAGCTATAGATACGTTCAGCCATTGATATTTAAAAATCTTTGTACAGATCGCTCATTAGCTATGGAGGATATCATTCACCATATATAGTATAAGATCAACGCGGTGTATACTGCTATTTACTTTTACCGTCTTGTGATCTGAATTCTGAATTTCTCACATTGTATAGTGTGAAATTGACATCCATCATATTGATCAAATTTTGAAATCTCCTAGCAATAAGAGCAATGAGATTATTCAATAGACAAGAACCTGATGGAGTAAAGTGTCATCTCACTTTTTTCAATTCAGTATTTAATGATTTCCTTCTGAGATGAAAAGGAAATAACTTTCGATTTGTTACAAATTGACTAACACCCCCTTTGATCACACTGTAGGCTTTAACACCAAAATGGTGTCAACAAATCATCCAAATTGCATTTCTTGGGTATCGAAAATAGCAAAAATATCGTCAACATAGGTATTATCTCTTGTGAAATATTGGACTTCTGTCTCGAAATCATTTTCGAACCTACCTATATATATATAAGTACTCATTAACAAATTGTAAACATGGCAAGAAACGGCGATAGAATCATTATTCCAGATTTTTGGGATTTTTTTCTCCTCGTTTCTATAAAATAAAAATATGAATATTATTTCAATATACACGTGTAGTAAGGACAACTCAGATGATTTGCTCCAAAATGTCACTGCGTTTCAAGGAATCTGCTCGCATTCTTCTGAACGGAGACAATAGCATTGCTTACTATTCAGTTGATATAGATAAAACATGGTATTCACTACTGAAATCAGAAAATTAAAATGGTGAATTCAAGATTAATTAATGCAAACATCCTGTAACTCATTTGATTGCCAAAGTCACCAATTATCACTGAGAACTGAAAAGTGTCAAGAAAAAAACGAATTTGCTATTCAAATATCCATTATTTATGTTGAAAATGGGAGCAGATTCGTTTTCGAAATGCCCAAAGCTAAGTGAAAGTTTGATATTTCTTCTATATACTTTTATTCTTCTTCTCCAAACCTTTTTCGATACAAATAATTGTCACTGACAAGATAGTGAATTCTTCTCTTAGGCTCTCTGATAGGAAAATTCTTCGAACGCAGTGACATTTTGGGGCAAATCATCTGATTTGTCCTTACTACACGAATATAGAAATAATATTTATATTTTATAGAAACGAGGAGAGAAAACCCCAAAAAATCTGAAATAATGAATGTATACCACCTCCTCGATTAACCTAAGTTAACTAAGTTACCTCATTCAACGCCCAAGAGATAATTCCCAAATTTTCACAATGTTTTCCCGTCTTATAACATTCAGATGTTAGAACAGATTTCTGTAATCTCTTGTCCCATTTTCCTCATAATACCATTCGAAATCTCTCTCCACCATCGACCCCCCATCGCAAAATCAATTAAATTACCCAATAAAACAAACCTCCAACACTCCAAACCCCATTAAACAGCCAAACCAATATTGCGCTATCTTCCAACGCTCCTCCAAAGCACTTCGACCTGCACCCCGAGCAACAAAGTGGCCTCTCGCTCTGCTATTGGCTCACCCTCAGGGTGGTGACCTTGGCAACGCGAAAGCTCGCGCCGCTATTGGCCGCCGGAGCTTTGGCTCCGCCCACCTGGGTAAACGAGCCTAGCTTTACGTAACGCTTCTGCATAAGTAATCTAATGCTGGTCGTTTGAGTTCCACGGTGGAATTTCGCGATTTTTCTCACAAATGATCAACTGAACTGAAGTGTTGGGTTACCGAGAATTGAATGATGGACGTGGACGCAGCTTCCAGCACTTCAAGCGAGTCTTATTGCCAGTCTACGGCGAATTTGAACTACTACACCGACAATCTCTATTTCGCTACTAACTGTAAGCTTGATTCCTACTTCAAAAAGTCCGAGACATCGAAAAAGCTAGAGTATTATCGGAAAGAGGACTACGCTGATAATTGTTCTTCTAAAATTGTTGTGAACAAAAGTGAAGGACCAAAAAGGAATGTGGTGTTTAACGGGGAGTGTTTCGAGAAGAAAGTTGAGGACAATAATAGGAGGGTGCAATTTGACTATTTCAATAATAACAGTGGTGGTGGATTGAAGAAAAGTGATGGTAGCATTCAACTCACCGGGGTGGATGGATATGGAAAGAAGTCGATTAGTTTTTCAGCGGATCAGGTTGGTATACCTATACAGGATGTGTGAATCAGTACGAAAAAATACAGATTATAGTAAAAAAAAGTTCATATTAAGATGTGTTCTATATAACTAGTTTCGTTAATGCGATACAGGATGTTGAAGAAAAAACGAAAGTTGTTGAAGAGATAGTCTACAGTATAGAATGTACATTTTTTTATCCAAATTTAAAATACTTTCCGACTGCCAACACGGTTTCCGAACAGGAAAATCAACTCAATCGGCAGCTATAGTAGCCTGATTGAAAATATACAAGCTGATTCACAGTGGATGGCATATTAGTCGTTTCTAGAAAACGCAATAACTCAGGATCATTCTGAAAAGTTGGTGCCTTGGATTACAGTAGAGAGCTTACTTAGATAATCAGTTGTGTTGTATCGACCCAAAATATTCTCAGTATTGCGACGTTGTCGCTCTTATATTGAAAAGTACCAACAACTTTGATTTTTCAAAAGGAACACCCTGTATCATATTCCATTTTCAGATTCTCCATGGAGGGCTGATATTATTGACCTATATTACTTGAGGTCAAGCAGTAATAAATACAGAGTTATAGGATGTGAAGAATCGAGATTTTTCAACTTCAGGAACTTTTTTGTGTCGAAACTAATCATAATCGGTCAAAACAGTTTTAATGTCCCTATATCCCAACATTTTATTTACTATCAATTGATATTTGATTGAAATAAATACAGGGTGGTTCAGAATTAAGATTTTTGACCCTCCTGTATCTATTTCAATTGAATATCAATTGATAGTACATAAAAAGTTAAGATAGAGACATGGAAACCGTTTTGACCAATGATGAATAGTTTCGACACAAAAAATCTCGATTTTTCACACACTATATCTTTGTTATCATTTCCGCTAGACCCCAAGTGTGATCGATCGATGAAATCAGATCTTCAGGGAGAATCAAAAAAAGGAATAATTTCAAAAATCAAAGTTGTTGCTACTTTTCAATATCAGCGGCAACGTCGCAACACTGAGAATATTTTAGGCCGATAGAATACAACTAATTATCCAATCAGAATAATCCTGAGTTGCAGGACTCTTCTTTGATTTGTCCCGCGCTTTTGACTCGATAAAGCTGGACTTTATTGAAAATAAGTTGTATAACTTGGGATTTAGAGTAGTCTTCTTAAATTGGGTGTGTGATTATCTTCACCATAGACAAATATGTGTCAAAGTAGAAAATATCTCTCTAGCACACATTCTCTGAACAAAGGTGTTCCGTATTGAGAGAATGAGCCGATCCCACAATATCAATAAGCTGAGAGAGAACATATCTTGAAAGAAAATGACTTGAGAATCGAATTTTTAGAGCAGGAATAATAAAAAATCCGAGGTTTACGCGTGGAAGAGAGTGAGGAATTCAGGAAACAAAAAGAAGAAGAAAATAGCAATGTGAACGGCGATCTATAGCTGCTCGCTGTTATTGTTGCCACATCATTTGTTTATTTATTGATACTTATTACCTACTACTTTTGTACAAGTGAAATTGTTCCATAAGATTTTATTTCTGTATTTTTTTAGATTCCATGAATTTTTCGTTTATGCCAATTGATACTTTTTTCTTGAAGTTTCCGGAAACAAATCCAACTTTCGCAGCTTCTTCCATTATCTCTGTCTCTGGCGGTGTATTTATCAAATTCGTCACATCTCGGTATATACATCATATTATTTATTATGAATTGTTGGAATAATATTTGATGGAAAATGCGATTTCTATCAAAAGCACTAATGAGAACTACCCTAAAGAATTCAAAAAACTTCTTCTGACAGTTGTGACAACTATTCAAAGCTGAACAGCAGCCAAGTTTTGGTCGATTTCTGTTGATTCTCTATGGAAATGTATGTGGTGTTGGCAAAGTGCAGTGAGAAGAAATAATTCTCACAGTATGAGCAATACATGGTTTTGAAACTAAGTTAGCTTTAAGAAATGCGCTACTTTTCATAGCAGTAGTAGAAAAACGATTTTGAAGCAAATCATATGTTTTGCCAGACAATAAGGACAAGAATATGTTTTTCGCTAAGATAAAGGATCCTCGCATCTTCCTTCCTCCACAAGTCCTGGAAAGAGTACATTCATATATCTTTCTTTGTCTTTAATTTTTGTATGAGAGTGCATAGCGTCTCCTCGAGTGGGTAAAAGGGTACGATAAATTGATCAGAAAATCATTTTTTCTGGGAGGCAAAATATTGAAACACAACCTCACTCTTCTGTGAATTATTGAAACACAACCTCCCTTTTTTATTTGTTTACAAAGGAATCAAAAGGTTGAAATAGTTTTTCACAATATTTTGGCATACGAATCGTGTTTCTTGCGTTATTCATTGATTCAAGCATGCCTTCCCATTGTGCTGTTGTACAATGCACAAAAAATGCCGCAAGAGACTAGGGAATATGATTTTTCAGGTAAATAGTTATCTCACATAGTTATCATTATGAAATGTTGTCATTCCTTATTAAAATTCCTTCTGCCTTCTGCCATTTCTGCAATACAAGCTAATACTGCTAATAGATTGAAAATGTCTACAACACACACGATCGTCAGCATGTCAGACCAGTCCTCCCGATTGATTGCATGAATCCGATCTTCTTGCATTATTCTAGAAATTTCAGGTATATTTCTATTAGCTCCTATTGCAGAAGGAATTCCGATGAGAAATCAGAGAAATAACCAAATTTCAAAAATTAAAACTATATGTGAGTGACTATAGTAGGTACTTACTTTTAAATCATAATGTACCATCCGGATTCCTTCATCTTCCGTTGCAGTTTTTGTGCATTTTACAACAGCACAATGTGATGGCATGAGCGAATTGATGAATAGCGGAAAAATACGATTCATATGCCAAAATAATTGTGGAAAACTATTTCCTTCCATTATAAACAAATAAGAAAAGTGACGTTGTGTTTCAATGTTTTGCCTCCAGCGTCGGTCATCTGACAGTTCTTGCACGCAACCCATATAGGTCGCGTGCACGAAGACCGACCCTGGAGGCAAAATATTGAAACACAACCTCATTCTTCTGTGAATTATTGAAACACAACCTCACTTTTTTATTTGGTTACAGAGGAATCAAAAGGTCGAAATAGTTTTTCACAATATTTTGACATACGAATCGTGTTTCTTGCGTTATTCATTAATTCAAGCATGCCTTCGCATTGTGCTGTTGTACAATGCACAAAAAATGCAGCAAGAGACTAGGGAATATGATTTTTCAGGTAAATAGTAATCTCACATAGTTAGCATTATGAAATGTTGTCATTCCTTATTAAAATTCCTTCTGCCTTCTGCCACTTCTGCAATACGAGCTAATGCTGCTAATAGATTGAAAATGTCTACAACACACACGATCGTCAGCATGTCAGACCAGTCCTACCGATTGATTGCATGAATCCAATCTTCTTGCATTATTCTAGAAATTTCAGGTATATTTCTATTAGCTCCTATTGCAGAAGGAATTCCGATGAGAAATCAGAGAAATAACCAAATTTCAAAAATGAAAACTATATTATGTGAGTGACTATAGTAGGTACTTACTTTTAAATCATAATGTACCATCCGGATTCCTTCATCTTCCGCTGCAGTTTTTGTGCATTTTACAACAGCACAATGTGATGGCATGAGCGAATTGATGAATAGCGGAAAAATACGATTTATATGCCAAAATAATTGTGGAAAACTATTTCCATCACTAAACAAATAAGAAAAGTGACGTTGTGTTTCAATGTTTTGCCTCCAGCGTCGGTCATCTGACAGTTCTTGCACGCAACCCATACTATTGTGGTTATGTTTGATTGTCACTGCTTGTCAAGTGTCAAATACATTTAGAAACTCTTCTATCCCAGGTGCAATGCATGTGCGAAGCCCTCCAACAACGCGGTGACGTGGACCGCCTGGCGACGTTTCTCTGGTCCCTGCCGCCCTCAGAGCTTCTCAGGGGCAACGAGAGCGTTCTCAGGGCCAGGGCGGCCGTGGCCTTCCACCGGGGGTCGTACCACGAGCTGTACGCCATCTTGGAAGCACACGCTTTTCACGCGCGGTGGCACCCTGAGCTGCAGACGCTGTGGTTCAAGGCGCATTACAACGAGGCGGAGAAGATCAGGGGCAGACCGCTGGGTAAGAGGAGAAAGTGTGATGAGACATACAAGGTGTCTCAAAATTACATGGAAATATTTCAACTGCAAATTTTAGGAACACTAGTTATTTATTATACAAGGGAAAAAAGTAGTAGATTTTAGCTCCAGGTTTTGTGTTGTGAGTTAAAATCTAATAGTTTCTTCTCCGATTGGCAGCAAATATTAATTTTGCTGACACATATCAATCAGCAAAGTATTACTTTTCCTGCCTAGGCAGCAAAGCGGGTAGGCAGCAAAGTGGTTACTTTGCTGATTGATATGTGTCGGCAAGATTAATAATCCATAAATCGTTTATAATTTCCTTCATATTTCATCCGAGACTTCTCCGGCAACAAATTCAACTCTATATTTTTTGCCACCTCCCTTATTTCTGGAGGAGTAAGTACTTCCAGGTCGCTATCACTGTCCATTATATAATAATTTGAATATACCGATATTTTTTCGCACAACTGTCAGAAATTTCATGAATTGTCAAACTATAATTTATTATTATAGACATTTCCATAGCAACCAACCATTCCATCTGCGATTTTTATCAAATTTTATTTCAATTGAACACTACAGGAAAAATAAAGAGATTGTGGGAATTGTTATAATTTGCAAATACAATATCCTCCTATATCATTATGAACAATCGGAGAAAAAATTATATGTTCAACTCGGCAGCAAAGTAGATTGACTGCCTTAGCTGAATTCCTACGCTCGGCTATGAATTCAGCCTAGGGCCTAGGCAGTCAATCTACTACTTTGCTGCCTAGTTAAACAAATAACTATTCCCGTGTATAATACACTATTTTTTTCTGTGATAGAAGAAAGGACGAATCAATATTGAGAAGATATCACATTCTTTTGAAATCTGAAAATTATCGACGTGAAATTTTAAGTTTTTAAAAGTAGGGACACCTGCGTTGTAGGCATCTTTATCATTCTTCTGAAGTAATCAAATATCTGATGTCACTTCTGTCAGTCTAATTCTGTGATTTAATTTCAAAAAATTGCGATTTTAGTGGTTGTTTAGTAATATACGTAACCGCGAAGTCGAATGGAAGATAAAAGGGCTTGCAGTTCTTTCTCGGAGACGGTATTATTCACTCGTTTTTCGGAACTATAGCACAACAAAAGCCATCAACAGTGTATATATATGTGATATATGGGAAAAAAGTACTCACTTTTATCCCACGGGAAAAAGGTAATTTATGAAAAGGGACATTTTATAACCTGCCAACAGAGATGAAATACCAAACTTTTCTCCCGTCACAGAAAAAAAACAGTCTGTAGTTTTTTTATTTGTTTCATGAATTGGTCAGAAAAATCCAGAAGGACCTCCTTGCGCCCCCTTGGATTGCCTTACCTGAAAAAGCACGAAATCAATTCGAGATATTGAGCTGAGCAATCGATCCAAAAGAAGGATTTGTGTTTAGCATAGCATATGGTTTGGGCCTCGGGTTTGGGCAGCACCAAACTGAACAGACGATTTCACCAAATTCTGAACATTTCTCAAAAAAAAATTTTTTTTCTTCTGTTGAAGTTGTCGATGATTTCAAAGCTATATGAATCCATTTTCTAGGATGTGTTTCGTCGTATATAGAGTGGCAAAATACGCTTGCATAATTTTAAAATCGAGAATGATGCGATAAGAACCTAAAAATGAAAAATTATCGATTTTGAACATCCTGTATGAGGAATGTGGAAAATTACAAAACCTTTTCGAGATATTGGCTTGAACGTTGAAAAAAAAAAAAGATAGTAGATAAAAAATAGTAGATTGTTTTATTAGGATCAAAAGTGACACTTTGTTTGACAAGCGAATTTTGCATTTGCGAGGCGGAGCGTTTAGCGAAGCCGAGCGAAAGCAAAATTTGCGAGTCGAACAAAGTCACTTTTGATCCGAATGAAACATGCTATTTTTTCTGCAACCGAAACAATTAACTCAAATAAACATGTGAAGTAATCACCAATGTCGTGCCATATGTAGGTATGCAATGCAACAGATATTGACAAATAATCCATGTTGTAGGAATATTCTACCTGCATTAACAGCAGGTTAGGTTTTCTAGGATGTTCGAATTGTAGTTTCAATATAAATACAACCACAGAGTCACATATTTGTGTATGGACCAGGTGCTCTAATGGCAAATACCGCGCCAGTGCCAGCTATAGGAACAAGACGTGGAAAATGTTAGGTTAGTGAGCATATCAACAATGATAATAGTGATTATTTTTATGCCTCTCCATACTATACTGTGTTTGACTTGATAATCAAATGAAGCTAAACAATATCGTTGTTTGAGACAAAAAAACTATTGCTTGCCGTGATTATTCAAAAACAAGTTATCCATCCCGAGAATAACGAATGAAATACAGATCAAGCAAGTATTTGAATCTTGAAGGCCTTCCTGATCAAAACAAAAATACTTAACTGAGATGTTTATGATTCCAATACCAAACTATAATAAGGTGTATTTATATCTTCAGCATGGGTATGAAATGCCAAATCTGCTGAAATCGGAAACAAATCAGGTATGCGTCTCAACCCAAATAACCAACCGTCACAATGTTGTTCATTCTTGATGACGTCCAGTACATCCTTTTTAGTTCCTAGGAGCTAAAGTTCAACTTTAGCTCCTAGGAACTAAAATTCAACTTTAGCTCCTAGGAACTAAATATGTTGCCTAGCAACATACCTATTTTTGTGTCAGTAATAGAAACGTCAATTTAAGATCTAATTTTGGTATCAAAATGGACGACTTTTGTGTCGGTTGCAGAAAAAAAAACATTCCCTGGAATACGGAAGCGTTTGAATTCTTTCATTTTTGTAATACTTTATTCGAACACTTGGTGTATGATGACAAAAAAACTCCCGACGAGATTTGAACGGGGAATCTAGAACAGAGAGATCGCATCTTCCAAGCAATGCATTCCGATTGAAAATCCATTCATCTTCTAAAGAGATATGGCAGTTTGAAAATTGTCAAATATTTCAGTGGTCCACTTGTTTCTTTGAGCACTTTACTATAGTTTTCCATTGGGTACCTAACAGTTGAGTCAATTAAGAATCATTTCCAGTTGAACTAAAAAATAGTTTTTTTTTCGAGTGTGAGTCTTATTTTACTGTATTCGTTATTTTGTCAAATACATTCATATATTGACCATGCTCCCTGCTATAAACAAATGATGTTTCTTGGGAATAATAAAGTTATATCGAAGAGACTGGAACCTTTGGCACGATAATACACTACCCTGTTTTACCACTAACCAAACCGATTTTTTAACGCCTCGACACGTGTTTCGCTAACTATGTTAGCATCTTCAGGAGAAGATTGACGTTTTAATTAAAGTTTTAATCTTCTCCTGAAGATGCTAACATAGTTAGCGAAACACGTGTCGAGGCGTTAAAAAATCGGTTTGGTTAGTGGTAAAACAGTGTAGTGTGAATAATAAAGTTGATTGATTGATTGATTCTACATATTGATGCAGATGATTGATCGTTATTTTTTTTTCAAGGTGCTGTGGACAAGTACCGACTTCGCAAGAAGTACCCTTTGCCGAAAACGATCTGGGATGGCGAGGAGACAGTCTACTGTTTCAAGGAGCGCAGCAGGAATGCCCTTAAGGACTGCTATGCACGCAACAGGTATCCTACGCCAGACGAGAAAAGGGCTCTGGCTAAAAGGACAGGTTTGACGTTGACGCAAGTGTCCAATTGGTTCAAAAACAGACGACAACGGGACAGGACGCCACAGTCAAGGACGTAAGTACAAAAATACTCTGAATTTTAAACGAAAAAAAAATTAGAGAAAAACTAGCTATCTTGAAAGGGTCGCGGTGCAATTTAAGTGAAGTGTGGTAGAATGGACGAGTGGATTTATGATGAATTATTGTTATTCAATTACTACACTGTGTCGTTAGGGACCTAAATTAATTTTTGCATCATTTCTCACACTTTTTTTATGTAAATAATGAGTGTATGCGTTGCTCATTTCAAACGATCCGTCATGGCTACTATTTGGCGATAAGTCGAATAAATGATGACGTCAACTTTTATGCTGTTTCCTTATTGGTCAGATAATCTTTCAATCTCACTCACGAAGCAAGGTTGTCAAGTCACCAATTATAATCAAGTTATCAGAGAGATAAAAGTGTCCTGTCGTTGAATAAAACATGATAGGAGGAACCCCTGATATCACACTGAGAAAAATGGGTCAAATGATTATTTCATTCAGAAATTTGTATTGATCACTAGCAAAACTATTACTGCCTGTGAAAAATAAAATAACTGGACCAAAATTATTGATTCATTTGGTATCGCTCACCTACCATAAAAGTTTCTAAATTTGAAACAAGCGTCTACTGATTTGCGGTAAAACAATTAAAATAATCATTTTCATCATTTGTAGTGAATTCTCAACGATTTTATCTCAAATCATGTTATTGATGGAGTGAATAGTAATATCATTTGTTATGAATGAAAATGATTGTTCGTCAGAATAGAAACTGTTTGCAGCCAATCAGATGCTTTTCAACTAACAAAACAGCACCAGTTTGAGATCAAAGATTTTTCATTGTGCAGAAATGGAAATTAATTGTCCACAACAAAACTACTATAGGTTGGTCAATAACAGTTGATTTGAGAAAAATGCTTTCCTATTCGCCATTAAATTGCGGTCCTTTCGATTCCGCAAATATGTCTCTAATTGATAACCAGTTCATTCTCATTTCCAACAAATCAAAAACCACTTGGCCTCCATGAGCCGAAATCCATTGAGCCGACATCGTTGCCGATTGCTAGATATAACTCCCCAAATTAGGTACGCAAGTTTGAGATGCATTGGATCATTTTCTAACCTCATCAGTAGAATATCTAATTCAGATAGGTACATACCAGACATACAACATCAGATAATAGGTATATATAATTCAACATGAAAATAATAGAAATGAATAAACAATCTAAGATATTAGGTATACAATGATATATATACTAATAATCTCTTAAATAGATCATGCTTTTCGCACTGATACCGTATTATTTTGTTTTGAACGATGTCCATGTGGAATAAAAAGTTTCAGTCTTAACGTTTACTGATAGATGGCGATATATTATGAGGAAATGAACACTAATAACGCCAAGATCAAAGATTATCATTGATTCTCCTACAGACTCGTAGGCATTTGTTGAAAATCAAAGAATGATTATATTCTTACAAGAGCACATATTGATTTTTGATACTACCTACAGTACCTACCTAGTTAGTTATAAGTAATCAGAAGTATCCTGATGTAAGGGTAAGGGGCCATTTTTTGTTTCTTCTTACCCAAGAACTCGTCATGAATATCACGATGACATTCAATAATTATTTCACTCATTCTCTTTTTTAACTTAAAAAGTCCACCATTATTGGCAACATCGCAATAATGTTCACCGATGGGCGGTGTGGTGGGGTCGATGTCGGCGTCGGCACGGACACAGTAGAGAGCTTGCTCGGAGATGAGATTTGTTTTTAGTTACTGTGACCGGCTTTCATTCTGACCATAAAATATAGGAGATCAGGATAATACTTATGAATACTATACGAATTTTTGCTTGAATGGGGACTTGAGAGTTTCTACGAGGACTTTTCAGGTAAGTGTGAATATAATAATGATAACATGTGAATTAAATATAGGGTTTAGGTTAGGTAAAGGTATGGATGTACATCCTAAGTAAATAATTTATTGGATAGTTATTATAGTTGATGTTCGTATGTTCTTTGTCTTAGAAGTCAAATGAAATTTCAAGCTATTGTGTTTGTGAATTCAGATCATACAATCAATAAAACAATTTTAAGTCTCATAATTTTTTATGTTGCAGCTATGCCATGGATAATAGTGGAATTCGTGAAGACAGGCGAAGTGATGGAGGCTATACCTTTCAAATGGAATGATGACAACAATCAGATGGTTGTCTACCCTTCATTCAAAAAATCGCAGTTGGAGAAGGCTATCAAAACAGAAATGGAACCAGAGCCATACTAGAAAAATGACAAAGTTGTTTTGATGAGGCCACAACCGATTGAATATTTAAAATGAAAAGCAATGGGAACAAATCGAAAATTATCTGTGGCAATAAATAAATGATGATTTGAAAGATATAGACAATGTTCTTTGCAGTAAAACAAACACCCAGTAGTAACAAAATTGAAACGATTTGCTTCCAACAGAAAACTGATTTGTCTCAAATAATGTGCTAATACATCATGAATGAAACATACATTAATGGGCAATGTAGGTGATGCTGAGAGCTAATTGAGAGTTGATTTGAGATTATACATTATGGTCACTTGAATCAAATGCCAATCACTTGATATAAAAACGCGACCATTTGTGTTCATCATATGTGTTATGAGTTATAAATAAGTAAACATTTCGTCCTAGTTGAACAGAGTTATTGCTATAAAATAGTCTCAAATCATTGGTAATTTACGTTGAATATTTGAACTATTGGTTGTAAGTATTAAAGATATTACCTCGGCCGAGGGGGTAACCACTTCATGAAATCCTGGGACAGGCATGATGAAATCAGTATGTAATCATCATGTAATCAGCATGTAATCATCATGCAATCCATGTAATCATCATGTAATCAGTATGTAATCACCATGAAATCCATGTAATCATCATGAAATCAGTATGAAATCAGCATGAAATCACCATGTAATCATCATGAAATCAGTATGAAATCAGCATGAAATCAGCACGAACTCATGATGAAATCAAAAGTGATTTTGGTTTGTTTCCAAATCGTGAAGCATCGTTGTTCTTCGGTATTTTTTTGGTTTTGCTCCACTTGAAATCCATAGCCACACAGTACATGTGTAACAGGGTGCCTACAAACTTGTGCCACAGCTTGCTTGTGTTGTGTTGACTGCAATCCGAACTGAATAATAATCTAGAGCGGGATAGGTACCTACCTTGGATTGTAAACAAGATCGACAGGGACGGATGACCGAGCGGAAGACGCGGTGAGTTGCGTTTCGCTTTGGTTTCGCCCTATACTGTTAGATGGATTTCTTTGCATTGCTAACATGTTTTGCTAGCATACCTACCTATATAAGACCTGTTTATGCAAAATTTGAAGATTTCCTTGATATGATTTACCCATACTCTGCCACATCGGAAGTAAACAATATGGGGAATGAATGCTCATTGCCATTATTTATAATAATCATTGCCTGACATTACCCAAAATTCACCAGTGGCGAAATGAACGAAGTGGCAAGACTTTCAAGTGTCAAGCGACAGCGGCGCCTTCGGCCTTGACCTTGGTGCTACAAACTGATACTCGGAGGCCAAACAAATTTTCGTGAAATTACAAATAAATTCATTTTAGCTTAACAAACAATAATTCCAATAAAAATTTCTGAGGCACATTGATGATTCAATATACAGAGTGAACCATCTACGATTGATTACATCATATTGATAGTTCTTTCAACCTTTGGGCTTGCCTTGCTTAGCTGATTCAAAAAATGTACCTTTTACTCGTAAATAAAGAGTTGCTTCAATGTCGAGCAATGTGGCATACTCGGTGGTCAAAAAAATTTCGTCTTCTATCGATCGTGAAATAAAAGAAGTTATTTTAACATTTCAACTTGACAAACAATTTCATTAGAAATTTCTAAGACAATATACAGGGTGAACCATATTATTCCGTTTTTCTTTCGAGCAGATTCGAAAAATGAATTCTCGAATGAACAAGTTGGAATAGTTGCATCAAACTGATAGATACTAATCGGTGGCCAAACAAATTCCGTGTTTAGTCCGTGAAATTTCAGAATGAAATCGATTTAAAGCTGAATAAGCCATTCCATTCCAATAGGAATCTCCGAGACAGTTTGATTTTGATTGCTATTTACTGTATTTTCACAAGACAGTTCGATATCTACAGTGTGTCCACTTTACCACCCTTCCAAAATCGTTATTATATGATCGCCAACTGAGACCAATTTTATTGACCCATATTTCAAAAAATACAATTAGTAGGTAGGTGCACTAACAATAACGAGAAAAATAAATATTGATGGATTCTGTGTTATATGACGATGAAAATCGGTACAGGTATGTTTCAAGTGATCCTGATTCAGTATCCATCCTTATTTTTAGTGAAAAAGGAGCCCAGAAAGTCGCTGAAAGTACTTCGATCCAAAAATAAAATTACTATCTTGTTAGCAGGACATTTCAAATACCTATCGATCAAAACAATGTTTTTTGAGATCTATCAGACTATAACGATTTTACCGAATTCGACAGGGGTGGTAAGTTCTCAAATTGGACACAATGCATACAGGGTACATCATTTGAAAACGGTAATTTCTTTGATTTCTTCAAATTGTTGGCTTTCCTTGCTGAGCTGTATTGTATCCTATATTATCATGAATATCATCGAAAATCCTCCGATGTGCTTTCAACTTTGAAGAAGTAAATTAAGATAAGAGCAAACTTTATTTCTTGGAAATAAGGATTGAATGGCTGTTAGTCACAGGAATAATATTATCATCATCATTTTATTTGTCATAACAGACTTCATGACGGAAATTATCGTTGCCTCACGGCTGTTGGTTGAAATTTTCTTAACGATATGAATACCAATCAGGAATAGTCGGATATAATCGAATATCCTAAATTAATTTTCATAATAATGGCTTTCAATGCGGTATAATGAAATTCTATGAGTCATGAAACAAACCAATATGTCATTGTCAAAACTCACGC